TGAGGTGGGTTAGGACACCTTCGGTTTCGAACACTCTAATGAGTTCCGTTGTTCATTCATACCTTTCCTCCTCTCGCATGCGGTGTGTTAGGACACCTTCGGTTTCAAATTGTCGGAAGAGTTCCGGTGTTCATTCACCCTTTTTCTCCTCTCACATGCGGTGCGCCAGGTCATCTTTGGTTTCGAACACTCGGATGAGTTCCGGTGTTCATTCACACCTTTTCTCCTCTCGCATGCGGTGGGTTACGACAACTTCGGTTTCGAACACCTGGATCAGTTCCGGTGTTCATTGATACCTTTTCTCGTCTCGCATGCGGTGCGTTAGGACATATTTGGTTTCGAACACTCGGATGACTTCCGGTGTTCATTCCTACCTTTTCTCCTCTCGCATGCGGTCGGTTAGGACATCTTTGGTTTCGAGCACTTGGATGAGTTCCGGTGTTCATTCATACCTTTTCTCCTCTCGAAAGGCGGTGCGTTAGGACATCCTCGGTTTCGAACACTCGATTGAGTTCCGGTGTTCATTCATACCATTTCTCCTCTCGCATGCGGTGCGTTAGGACTTCTTCGGTTTCGAACACTCGGATGAGTTCCGGTGTTTATTCATCCCTTTTCTCCTCTCGCATGCGGTGCATTAGGACATCTTCGGTTTCGAACACTCGGATGTCTTCTGGTGTTCATTCATACCTTTTCTCATCTCGCATGCAGTGCGTTAGGATATCTTCGGTTTCGAACACTCGGATGAGTTCCGGTGTTCATTCATACCTTTTCTCCTCCCGGATGCGGTGCGTTTGGACATCCTCGGTTTCGAACACTCGATTGAGTTCCGGTATTCATTCCTATCGTTTCTCCTCTCGCATGCAGTGGGTTAGGACACCTTCGGTTTCGAACACTCGGATGAGTTCCGGTGTTCATTCATCCCTTTTCTTCTCTCGCATGCGGTGCGTTAGGACATGCTCGGTTTCGAACACTCGGATGAGTTCCGGTGTTCATTCATGCCTTTTCTCCTCTCGCATGCGGTGCCTTAGGACATTCTCGGTTTCAAACACTCGGATGAGTTTCGGTGTTCATTCATACCTTTTCTCCTCTCGCATGCAGTGCGTTAGGACATCCTCGGTTTCGAACACTCGGATGAGTTCCGGTGTTCATTCATACCTTTTCTCCTCTCGCATGAGGTGCGTTAGGTCATCATCGGTTTTGAACACTCGGATGAGTTCCGTTGTTCATTCATACCTTTCCTCCTCTCGCATGCGGTGTGTTAGGACACCTTCGGTTTCAAATTGTCGGAAGAGTTCCGGTATTCATTCACCCTTTTTCTCCTCTCGCATGCGGTGCGCCAGGTCACCTTCGGTTTCGAACACTCGGATGAGTTCCGGTGTTCATTCATACCTTTTCTCCTCTCGCATGCAGCGGGTTAGGGCATCCTCGGTTTCGAACACTCGGATGAGTTTCAGTGCACATTCATACCTTTTCTCCTCTCGCATGCGGTGCGTTAGGATGTCTTCCATTTCGAACACTCAGATGAGTTCCGGTGTTCATTCACACAATTTCTCCTCTCGCATGAGGTGGGTTAGGACACCTTCGGTTTCGAACACTCGGATGAGTTCCGTTGTTCATTCATACCTTTCCTCCTCTCGCATGCGGTGTGTTAGGACACCTTCGGTTTCAAATTGTCGGAAGAGTTCCGGTATTCATTCACCCTTTTTCTCCTCTCGCATGCGGTGCGCCAGGTCATCTTTGGTTTCGAACACTCGGATGAGTTCCGGTGTTCATTCACACCTTTTCCCCTCTCGCATGCGGCGGGTTACGACAACTTCAGTTTCGAACACCTGGATCAGTTCCGGTGTTCATTGATACCTTTTCTCGTCTCGCATGCGGTGCGTTAGGACATATTTGGTTTCGAACACTCGGATGAGTTCCGGTGTTCATTCCTACCTTTTCTCCTCTCGCATGCGGTCGGTTAGGACATCTTTGGTTTCGAGCACTTGGATGAGTTCCGGTGTTCATTCATACCTTTTCTCCTCTCAGAAGGCGGTGCGTTAGGACATCCTCGGTTTCGAACACTCGATTGAGTTCCGGTGTTCATTCATACCATTTCTCCTCTCGCATGCGGGGCGTTAGGACTTCTTCGGTTTCGAACACTCGGATGAGTTCCGGTGTTCATTCATCCCTTTTCTCCTCTCGCATGCGGTGCATTAGGACATCTTCGGTTTCAAACACTCAGATGTCTTCTGGTGTGCATTCATACCTTTTCTCATCTCGCATGCAGTGCGTTAGGATATCTTCGGTTTCGAACACTCGGATGAGTTCCGGTGTTCATTCATACCTTTTCTCCTCCCGGATGCGGTGCGTTTGGACATCTTCGGTTTCGATCACTCGATTGAGTTCCGGTTTTCATTCCTACCGTTTCTCCTCTCGCATGTGGTGGGTTAGGACACCTTCGGTTTCGAACACTCGGATGAGTTCCGGTGTTCATTCATCCCTTTTCCTTCTAAAGTAAAGGCCGCTAATAAAACCTTTTGTGTCTCTGTGCGTTTGGACATCCTCGGTTTCGAACACACGGATGAGTTCTGGTGTTCATTCATACCTTTTCCCCTCTCGGATGCGGTGCGTTGGGACATCCTCGGTTTCGAACACTCGATTGGGTTCCGGTGTTCATTCATACCTTTTCTCCTCTCGCATGCGGTGCGTGGGGACATCTTCGGTTTCGAACACTCGGATGAGCTCTGGTGTTCATTCCTACCTTTTCTCCTCTCGCATGCGGTGCGTGGGGACATCTTCGGTTTCGAACACTCGGATGAGCTCTGGTGTTCATTCCTACCTTTTCTCCTCTCGCATGCTATGGGTTAGGACACCTTTGGTTTCGAACACTCAGATGAGTTCTGGTGTTCATTCATACCTTTTCCCCTCTCGGATGCGGTGCGTTGGGACATCCTCGGTTTCGAACACTCGATTGGGTTCCGGTGTTCATTCATACCTTTTCTCCTCTCGCATGCGGTGCGTGGGGACATCTTCGGTTTCGAACACTCGGATGAGCTCTGGTGTTCATTCCTACCTTTTCTCCTCTCGCATGCTATGGGTTAGGACACCTTTGGTTTCGAACACTCAGATGAGTTCTGGTGTTCATTCATACCTTTTCCCCTCTCGGATGCGGTGCGTTGGGACATCCTCGGTTTCGAACACTCGATTGGGTTCCGGTGTTCATTCATACCTTTTCTCCTCTCGCATGCGGTGCGTTAGGTCATCATCGGTTTTGAACACTCGGATGAGTTCCGTTGTTCATTCATACCTTCCCTCCTCTCGCATGTGGAGGGTTAGGACACCTTCGGTTTCGAACACTCGGATGAGTTCCGGTGTTCATTCATACCTTTTCTCCTCTCGCATGCAGCGAGTTAGGGCATCCTCGGTTTCGAACACTCGGATGAGTTTCGGTGCACATTCATACCTTTTCTCCTCTCGCATGCGGTGCGTTAGGACATCTTCGGTTTCAAACACTCGGATGACTTCCGGTGTTCATTCAGACCTTTTCTCCTCTCGCATGCGGTGCGTTAGGACGTCTTCGATTTCGAACACTCGAATGACTTTTTTTTTTTGGGTGAATAAGAAATAATATAAAACAGAAAGATTTACAAAAATACAAGGGGCATACCCCAGGCCCTAACAACAGAAAACAACACAAGCCTCAGCCCACAGGCACCGAAGCCCAAAGAAACACAAACAAAAACCTAAACCAAACCTAAGAGCTACATCCGAAAATTAGGAGAGCCAAAAGAAAAACGTTGCCAAGCAGACTGTACAAAGGCCATATCCTATGATGAATAGGGACCTTGTACAAAGGATAAACCAGCAACCAACAAGCACCATTACAGCAGTCCAAAAACTCCCTACACAACCCGTAGGGATGGGCACCATCACACCCACAAATCTCCCTACACAACCCGTAGGGATAGGCACCTGTAACAAAATAAATGTAATACAAAAACTGTAACTCAAGCAAGCCGAATTGATGAACCAAGAGGGGCCCATCCTACCGAATTGCTCAAAAAACCTGTTACACGAGATACCCAAATACACATGAAACCTCCTACACAACCCGTAGGAATAGGCAAGCTGCAAACTACAACTGTGAACAAATAAAAATAAAAGTAAAGACAGATTTGCTCTCATTTGTAGCATAGCAAGGCGCTTGAAGCAGCCATCACTATGGACATACACACCCTGCCAACAGCCATCCAAATCTGAATAGCAATCAGCCACCACTCCTTCACAGCAGGAGAGAAATAAAAAAAATGAAGATAGCTAATAAACCCACTGAAATGCCTAGGCAAGGCGCTACTAGCAGCCATCACCGAAGGGTAAATCCACACAGCGTACAACGCCAAAGAGGTGCGCTGATTGCAGCCATCTTCACACCACCAGGCAAACCTCGACATAGATAGCTGCCAGTGCCCAAAAAACAGCGGCAAACTTCTAGCAGCCAAAGTCCAAATCCTATAACCATCCGGGATAAACTTCCAGGAGCAATCCCACCTTACAAGTTGCTGCTTAACCTGTACAGTATATAATAGAGAGGAATTTCCATAACAATGTATTGAGTCATACAGGAGAAGAAACAACAAACATACAATATAGGACCTCCCCTCACTCGACCCACAATAAAAGAGAGCTCTCCACTCAATGTAAGGGCTTCCATCACTCGGCCCACATATTCCGTGCTCTCTCATTCCAGCCAGCTGGACAATGAACTTGAGATACCATAAACCTGCACAAAAATATATATAATATATAGTACATGTTAGTAAAAGAAATATATACTTCCTCCCAACACTCAACCCACATTTACAAGATGAACTGTGCTGGCTCACATCACTCAACCCTCCCTTCATAGGCTCCAGATTTTGTGAATCTTTGGGATCCATAATAGCTGATAGAATCTAAGAATAACACCATCTGCAAGACAGCACAATTTATTAGTCAAAACACTCCTTATCTGCTCACCATCACTCAACCCTCAATGTAGGATAATTCACACCACTCAAATTCCTTTCAGCTGCAGCAGTTTGGGACTGCAATAGGATTTTAGAAGGTAGGTTCCATTGTTCCAAATACCAGTTGTCACCTGCATAAGCTTTCACATTTTCCATAGAAAGGAGTCTACCCCTAACCATTTGGATGATAGAGTTAGTGACAACCTCTTCAGGTTTGAAGACCTTACTAAAGATTCTACTATTTCTCTCCATCCAAATATGGTAGACAGTGCAGAGAAAGGAGAGTTTCATAATCATAGATTTCAGAGATTTACCATTGATGGATTTAGTAACAAACTCAACAAGTTCCAACCAGGGCAAAGAAGGCCAGTGGGAATTACACTTAGCTTGGATAACAGCCTAAATCCTAGAGGAGTAGTGACACCTAAAGAACAGATGGGAATGGTTTTCCTCAGGGGCACAACATAAAGGGCAGCTAGGGCTGGTAAGAAGACCAAAGATTTGGAGTCTATCCCCAGTGTTAAGTCTCTCAGGGATAGCCAGCCATACAATGAAACTAACCCTAGGGATAACAGGAGGACCCCAAACGAGATTAGACCAAGTAACCTTTGGGCCCTTGTCCCTCCAACAATCCCAAGCAGAGTGAATAGAAAAGGAACCATCAGTAGTCAAACTCCATACAGGAATATCAGGGGAATCAATGGAAGGTTTAAGAGAAGGAGGGGTGGCCGTGATCCATTCCTGTATCTCCCAAGAGTTAGGAAAAGACCAGTTCCAAGAATCATTTGAGATGATTGAACTAACCTTAGAATTGTTAGGAAGGTTGGTATCATACAAAATTCTAGGACCATACCGACACAAAAGCGAATCAAAGGGGTGCCAGTTATCATGCCAGAGGAACACATTTTCACCATTGCCAAGTTTGAATTTGATAATAGGGAAGATTAAATCCCTAAGCGATAAAAGTTTCCTCCAAACCCAGGATGGATCACTGGGCATCTTAATACCCCAAAAACTCTTACCCTTAAGTAAGTAGGATTTAACCCATTGACACCACATTGAACATTCCCCACCCGAAAACAGGTACCAAACATGTTTGGCTATAGCCGCTCTATTCCAAACCTCCATATCCTTAAAACCAAGCCCACCCTCATTGAACATTCCTCTCGCATGCGGTGCGTTAGGACTTCTTCGGTTTCGAACACTCGGATGAGTTTCGTTGTTCATTCATCCCTTTTCTCCTCTCGCATGCGATGCGTTAGGACATCTTCGGTTTCGAACACTCGGATGTGTTCCGATGTTCATTCATACCTTTTGTCATCTCGCATGCAGTGCGTTAGGATATCTTCGGTTTCGAACACTCGGTTGACTTCCGGTGTTCATTCATACCTTTTCTCCTCTCGGATGCGGGGCGTTAGGACATCCTCGGTTTCGAACACTCGGATGAGTTGCAGTGTTCATTCATACCTTTTCTCCGCTCGGATGCAGTGCGTTGGGGCATCCTCGGTTTCGAACACTAGGATGAGTTCCGGTGTTCATTCATACCTTTTCTCCTCAGGCATGCGGTGCGTTCGGACATCCTCGGTTTCGAACACTCGGAGGAGTTTCGGTGTACATAAATACATTTTCTATTCTCGCATGCGGTGCGTTAGGACATCATCGGTTTCGAACACCCGGAGGAGTTCCGGTGTTCATTCATACCTTTTCTCCTCTCACACGCGGTGCGTTAGGACATCCTCGGTTTCGAACACTCGGACGAATTCCGGTGTTCATTCATACCTTTTCTCCTCTCATGCTGTGGGTTAGGACATCTTCGGCTTCGAGCACTCGGATGAGTTCCGGTCTTCATTCATACCATTTCTTCTATCGAATGCGGTGCGTTAGGACATCCTCGGTTTCGAAAACTCGATTGGGTTTCGGTGTTCATTCATACCTTTTCTCCTCTCGCATGCAGTGCGTTAGCTCATCTTCGGTTTCGAACACTCGGATGAGTTCCGGTGTTCTTTCACACCTTTTCTCCTCTCGCATGCGGTAGGCTAGGACACCTTCGGTTTCGAACACTCAGATGGGTTCCGTTGTTCATTCATACCTTTCCTCCTCACGCATGCTGTGGGTTAGGACACCTTCGGTTTGAAATTGTCGGATGAGTTCCGGTGTTCATTCATCCCTTTTCTCCTCTCGCATGCGTTGCGTTAAGCCATCTTCGGTTTCGAGCACTCGGATGAGTTTCGGTGTTCATTCACACCTTTTCTCCTCTCGCATGCGGTGGGTTAGGACATCTTCGGTTTCGAAAACTCGGATCAGTTCCGGTGTTCATTCATACCTTTCCTCCTCTCGCATGCGGTGGGTTAGGACACCTTCGGTTTCAAATTGTCGGATGAGTTCCGGTGTCCTTTCATCCCTTTTCTTCTCCCGCATGCGGTGCGTTAGGTCATCTTCGGCTTCGAGCACTCGGATGAGTTCCGGTGTTCATTCACACCTTTTCTCGTCTCGCATGCGGTGGGTTAGGACATCTTCGGTTTCGAAAACTCTGATCAGTTCCGGTGTTCATTCATACCTTTTCTCCTCTCGCATGCGCTGCGTTAGGACATCTTTGGTTTCGAACAGTCGGATGAGTTCCGGTGTTCATTCCTACCTTTTCTCCTCTCGCATGCGGTGCGTTTGGACATCTTTGGTTTCGAACACTCGGATGTGTTGCGGTGCCCATTCATACCTTTTCTCATCTCACATGCAGGGCGTTAGGATATCTTCGGTTTCGAACACTCAGATGAGTTCCGGTGTTCATTCATACCTTTTCTCCTCTCGGATGCGGTGCGTTAGGACATCCTCGGTTTCGAACACTCGGATGAGTTCCGGTGTTCGTTCATACCTTTTCTTCTCTCGCATGCGGTGCGTTAGGACATCCTCGGTTTTAAACACTTGGATGAGTTTCGGTGTACCTTCGTACCTTTTCTCATCTCGCATGCGGTGCGTTAGGACATCCTCGGTTTCGAACACTCGGATGAGTTTCGGTGTTCATTCATACCTTTTCTCCTCTCGCATGCAATGCGTTAGGACATCTTCGGTTTTGAACACTCAGATGAGTTCCGGTGTTCATTCACACCTTTTCTCCTCTCGCATGCTGTGGGTTAGGACATCTTTCGTTTAGAACACTCGGACGAGTTCTGGTGTTCATTCGTACCTTTTGTCCTCTTGCATGCGGTGCGTTAGGACATATTTGGTTTCGAGCACTCGGATGAGTTCCGGTGTTCATTCAAACTTTTTCTCTGCTCCCATGCGTTGCGTTAGGACATCATCGGTTTCTAAGACTCGGATGAGTTCCGGTGATCATTCATACCTTTTCTCCTCTCGCATGCGGTGCATTAGGACATCTTCGGTTTCGAACACTCAGATGACTTCCGGTGTTCATTCCTACCTTTTCTCCTCTCGGATGCGGTGCGTTAGGACATCCTTGGATTCGAACACTTGATTGAGTTCCGGTGTTCATTCATACCATTTCTTCTCTCGTGTGCGGTGCGTTAGGACTGCTTCGGTTTCGAACACTCGGATGAGTTCCGGTGTTCATTCATCCCTTTTCTCCTCCCGCATGCGGTGCGTTAGGACATCTTCGGTTCTAACACTCGGATGTGTTCCGGTGTTCATTCTTACCTTTTCTCATCTCGTATGCAGTGCATTAGGATATCTTCGGTTTCGAACACTCGAATGAGTTCCGGTGTTCATTCATACCTTTTCTCCTCTCGGATACGGTGCGTTGGGACATCCTCGGTTTCGAACACTCGGATGAGTTCCGGTGTTCATTCATACCTTTTCTCCTCTCGCAGGCGGTGCGTTAGGACATCATCGGTTCCGAACACTCGGATGAGTTTCGGTGTACATTCATACCTATTCTCCTCTCGTATGCAGTGCGTTAGGACATCTTCGGTTTCGAACACTCGGATGAGTTCCGGTGTTCATTCATACCTTTTCTCCTCTCGCATGCTGTGGGTTAGGACATCTTCGGTTTCGACCATTCGGATGAGTTCCGGTGTTCATTCATACCTTTTCTCCTCTCGCATGTTGTGGGTTAGGAGATCTTCGGTTTCGACCATTCGGATGAGTTCCGGTGTTCATTTATATCTTTTCTCCTCTCGGATGAGGTGGGTTAGGACATCTTCGATTTTGAACACTCGATTGAGTTCCAGTGTTCATTCACACCTTTTCTCCTCTCGCATGATGTGCGTTAGGACATCTTTGGTTTCGAACACTCGGATGAGTTCCGGGGTTCATTCCTACCGTTTCTCCTCTCGCATGCGGTAGGTTAGGACACCTTCAGTTTCGAACACTCGGATGAGTTTCGGTGTTCATTCATACCTTTTCTGCTCTCGGATGCTATGCGATCGGACATCCTTGGTTTCGAACACTCGATTGAGTTCCGGTGTTCATTCATACCTTTTCTCCTCTCGCATTCGGTGCGTTAGGGCATCTTCGGTTTCGAACACTCGGATGAGTTCTGGTGTTCAATCAAACATTTTCTCCTCTCGCATGCTGTAGGTTAGGACGTCTTCGGTTTCGAACACTCGGATGAGTTCCGGTGTTCATTCATACCTTTTCTCCCCTCGCATGCTGTGGGGTAGGACATCTTCGGTTTCGAGCACTCAGATGAGTTCCGGTGTCCATTCATACCTTTTCTCCCTTCACATGCTGTAGGGTAGGACATCTTCGGTTTCGAGCACTCGGATGAGTTCCGGTGTTCATTCATACCTCTTCTCCTATCGGATGCGGTGGGTTAGGACATCTTCCGTTTTCAACAATCGGACGAGTTCCGGTGTTCATTCATACCTTTTCTCCTCTCGCATGCGGTGCGTTAGGACATCTTCGGTTTCGAGCACTCGGATTAGTTCTGGTGTTCATTTATACCTTTTCTCCTCTCCCATGCGTTGCGTTAGGACATCCTCGGTTTCCAAGACTTGTATGAGTTCTGGTGTTCATACATGCCTTTTCTCCTCTCGCATGCAGTGCGTCACATCTTCGGTTTCGAACATTCAAATGACTTCCGGTGTTCATTCCTACCTTTTCATCTCTCGGATGCGGTGCGTTAGAACATCTTCAGTTTCGAACACTCGGATGAGTTCCGGTGTTCATTCATACCTTTTCTCCTCTCGCATGCGGTGTGTTAGGACATCCTCGGTTTTGAACACTCGGATGAGTTTCGGTGTACATTCATACCTTGTCTCATCTCGCATGTGGTGCGTTAGGACATCCTCGGCTTCGAACACTCGGATGAGTTTCGGTGTACATTCATACCTTTTTCTCCTCTCGCATGCGGTGCGTTAGGACATCTTCAGTTTCGAACACTCGGATGAGTTCCGGTGTTCATTCATACCTTTTCTCATCTCCCATGCTGTGGGTTAGGACATCTTCGGTTTCGAACACTCGGTTGAGTTTCGGTGTTCATTCAAACCTTTTCTCACCTCGCATGCGGTGCGTTAGGACATCATCGGTTTCAAACACTCGGATGAGTTCCGGTGTTCATTCACACCTTTTCTCCTCACGCATGTGGTGCGTTAGGACATCTTCGGTCTCAAACTCTCAGATGAGTTCCGGGGTTCATTCATACCGTTTCTTCCCTCGCATGTTGTGGGCTAGGACATCTTCGGTTTCGACCACTTGGATGAGTTCCGGGGTTCATTCATACCTTTTCTCCTCTCGGATGCGGTGGGTTAGGACATCTTTGATTTTGAACAGTCGATTGAGTTCCAGTGTTCATTCACACCTTTTCTCCTCTCGCATGTTGGGCGTTAGGACATCTTTGGTTTCGGACACTCAGATGAGTTCCGGGGTTCATTCCTACCGTTTCTCCTCTCGCATGCGGTAGGTTAGGACACCTTCGGTTTGGAACACTCGGATGAGTTCCGGTATTCTTTCATACCTTTTCTCCTCTCGGCTGTTGTGCGTTAGGACATCCTCGGTTTCGAACACTCGATTGAGCTCCGGTGTTCATTCATACCTTTTCTCCTCTCGCATGCGGTGCGTTAGGACATCTTCGGTTTCGAACACTCGGATGAGTCCCGGTGTTCAATCATACCTTTTCTCATCTCGCATGCAGTGGGTTAGGACATCTTTGGTTTCGAGCACTCGGATGAGTTCCGGTGTTCATTCATAACTTTTCTCCGCTCGCATGC